ATGACTTAATGGGCGAGCCTAATGCCTTTAGAACTCATTCTAACATCTCATATTAGTGATCAGAACGTTTCTAGAATCAACCACATCGAGTTACGACAACTTAATCGGGTGCGACTAAAAGCCCCGTCTAACGCCGGTATCGGGTAGAATTCCACCGTTTCCCGAACTTGGACACTATTTAAAGGAACCTAAGCTTCCATTTGAAGCTTTTGCCCTCTCACACAACTCTCTCTCTCTCTAACCTTTCTCCTCAAACAAGATTCAAGGTCCAAAAACATAGAATTAAGGCCCCAAATCTTTGAGGTAACTTCCCTAACTTGTTATACAAACCCTCTTTTAAACCATGGATTAGGACCATTATCATGAGTTTACGGCCCTAGAACAGTCCTAGGTCGTAAACTCATATAAATGGGGTTTTTGAGCAACAAAACCCTTCCAAACCACAATTAGACCTTAGATATGGCTAGATAACTTCATGGAATGGACTTGGAATGCCTTAAACATGGATTTTGAAGAGTAAACATGAGTTTACTGCCCAAGAGCATGCTTGGTCCGTAAACTCCTCATTCATGGGGAGTAAACACTTTTTCTAGTGTTAAAAAGCCATGTAAACCCACCAATAGCCTTGGAATAAATCCTAGAACCAACCAAAATTAGTTTGGGGACCTTAAACACAATGAAATCCTTCCATTTGAGTGTTTACGGCCATGACTCCCCAAGAACAAGTTCCAGGGCCGTAAACTCCTTTACATAGGTCAAATGGTGCCTAAAATTCATCCCAAGGCTTGGAAAAATAGTTTGAATCACATGTGATTAATCTAAGGCCATTAAATCATCACTCTAGGGGGTATAGGAGCTTACGGTCGTAAACTCCCTTAAATGGTATTCTTGGTGATTTAATTCCTTCCAAAGCCTTAGATAAATTCATCCCAATCATCCCTCAAGTGTTATTGACCATTTTAGCACCATAAAGCACCTAAACATGAGTTCACGACCGTGAAGTCATGTGTGTATGGTATGAGAGGCCGAAAACTCCATAAGGAGTTTACTCTTGAAGAGTAAACTCATTTCCCTAGTCCCACACGTCCGTAAATGTCACCCGGGTCACTCCAAACACTTGTTTTGAAGTGTTTTCGCTCATTGGAGTGTATTATCATATCTAATTAGTGTTTTAAAGTCTAATTAGATACATTTGGATACCATTTCATATTACGTAGGAACCTCGCGTGTAATCAAGCCCCGAACCAACGCTTAGCATCCGAAACGTCGCGTTTTCTCGTCTGGTGAGTTCATACCCCTACCCTTTTAAGAATTGAAAACCTACTAACAAACTATTTTAACTTGCAGAGTTGTTTGTTCAAATGATTTCAATTCTTATTAATACTATTATGTTTCACAATTGATTGTTCACACTTATATTGATAGAGATCATAAAACAGTTGTAATGTCTATAATAAAACACCCTAGGCTCGAGTGTAAAAGACAGACACCATTAGAAAACATAAAACATGTGTAATGTCCTTAATAGAACACCCTAGGCTCGAGTGTAAAAGACAGACACCATTAGAAAACATAAAACATTTGTAATGTCCTTAATAGAACACCCTAGGATCGAGTGTAAAGGACAGACACCATTAGAAAACATAAAACATTTGTAATGTCCTTAATAAAACACATAGGCTCGAGTGTAAAGGACAGGCTCCATTAGAACTTAGTTAGTCATAGATACTACTTCCCCTAGGCATGAGAAGTAAAGAGAAATCTTAAAGATTGGAGACACGTCCTCTGTAACACTTCCTTGGCACGAGAGAGTAGAGAACTACCCCTGTAACCAGAATCTCCGAACAGAGGAGAGTGTGACTTGAGTGTATAGATCTATACGGTACTGACAATCCCGCACCTGGCTGCTAGCTACAGCCGAACCGAAAGGTTCAAGGGTGACAAAAGTCATAAAAAGGATACTGGCCCCAGCCCGAGTCATATCTAGTCTGAAGTATCGTTAAGGACTCGCAATCAAGATTATGAACACGTTACACTTAATTATTAGTTTTATATATGTGTTAAAACTAATGTACATATAAGGATAATCAAACTTTCAAGAGACTTCACACACACAGGTAGGAAAATATGGGATTTTCCTGGGGATAACATTGAACATAATCAAAATCGGTAACAATTCACACACACACACAGGTAGGAAAATATAGGATTTTCCTGGGTAACAGTAGTACGTAACCAGAAAGTGTAACAATTTGAATAACTAAACTTTACAATTCACAAGAACAATTATGATTTCAGTGTACATCTTTTACATTACATTTTGGATTTGGTAAACATTACTTTTAAGAAAATATGGGATTTTCTTGGATAACCGCTTTTTCAGGAAACCAAAGGAACTCGTACATTTTCGGGAAAACTAATCGCTTGTATTCTCAGGTCTGCGTTAGACAGGTACCCGACGATCTCTTTTGGCAAAGACGGAGTGCATAGAAGACTCGTCTCAATTTATTCATATATACTATGTATCACACTTGTACAATTTACTTTTGAAACAAATGTAAACTTATATATATATATATATATATATATATATATATATATATATATATGTAATGTAATGGTTCTTTACTTTGCTTACTATGTGCATTGGATTTGATACTCAACGTGGAGTCCGCCCCGAAAATGTTTCCGCCTTTGGTTTTCGGGGTGAGACAATTGGAAGTCGGAAGGATGCAGTCCTTGACTTTTTGTTTGCGTTCTTTATCGCTTTCACGAAGGTTTAGATTATGGTATATATAATTAACCTAATGTATGCGTACTGTAGAATGCATTACGACATTCTTTTCATTGGATGTGGATTTTGGAATCGTATGCTTATTTGGGATGTGTAAATGAAGAAATCAAGAAGTCATGTGTAAAGGTGATTGCATTATCCCTTTCTAAAGTTATGATGTTTTGTTGTAGGAATATTATTGTCGAAGAAACATTCAAGGTGCAATTACAACAACGGTTACCTAGGGATGGATCCATGAATACTAATAGGTTTCATGAAGAACACGAATGTGAATCTGTGATGATAAACATGACTAAAATGTTGAACCTGGGTTGTTCATGATTAAACCAAAATCGATAAAACATATGTTACGGTTTAGAACTTTCGAGTAGTGATAATGAAGTTCATTACAAATGGAAAGGGGAGTTTTGGTGGTGTTTAATTTTGACCAAAATTCCATGTGGCATTCATATTACCTATTAATGTCATATAAAAACATGTTAAAACGGTAAATGTGACTTTCTTCTCTTAATGTATAAAAATAATAATAATAAGTGACTTTTTAAAACAAATGTGACAAGTTCGTTAGGTTAATATAACATAATATTTTTCTCTTGACTTAAATAAATTTAGTTTACTTCCTAGTTAATCAATTTATGTCAATGACATACCTTAATTTCCATAATTGACAAATTTGACCCTTCAAGATTGAAATTTTTTATTAGGGATAATGACTTAAAAGGGTAATATATTTTTCGATTTATACACATTTGGTCACTGAGGTTTTTTTTCGTCCACCTTTACTCCTTCAACTTGTTAAGTTGTACACGTCGAGTCCTTATGACCGGTTACTCTAGGTTAGTCGGGAAAAATGACTTATTAAGGTAATATATTTTTCATTTTGTACACATTTAGTCCTTAATATTTTTTTGTTTCAAAATAAGTCATTTTTTGTTTTTGTACCAATTTAGTACTTATGAATGATTTATTTAGCGTTTTTCTCACGACATCTAACATGAGACTATCATTAATGACAGGGACGGTTCTCTTTGGGTGACCACAGTGGCACCGACAACCCCTGCTTTTTCTATACGTAGTGTAAATTTTTCGATATTTTTCGATTTTTTTCCCTTTTTTCTACTTACCGGCAACACATACTACGGATCAGCAACACCTACTATCAAATCCTGCATCCATCCCTGATTGATGAGGTGTTTGGGGTTGTTGATGCTTATGTCCATCGCGACCTTGACTGCTTGGTTGCATATGTCTTGTGATTTGGCTTAGGTTTTGTATTCCGAACGTCGTAACTTCTTCATATGATATCTGATTTTAACGATCTTTATATCTATGATGCATGTGGCGAGCTTGATCTATCCAAAGCTGTGTGATCGGATTCTTCGTCGCCTCTGCACAATATCAAGAGAAGAAAGCCGTCAGCCGTTCCCAGGAGAGTGCTCCCGTAAGAACGCTCTGACGATCAAGTTAGAGTGTTTCTAGGGTTTCTCTATGTGTATCTAAGCCAGAGAAGAATGATTACCTTGTGAGTCTGAGGGTGTATCCTTTTATACCTAGCGCTCTTGCCTAGTCCATACCAGACAAGATCGCTTTTTGGGGGAGACAGGATTAGGGGCGTTGATTGGAGGATCATACGCCTTTAACCGTTAGATCACTCTCATTGGCCTTGACGGTAATGGCCTGGCCCTGCTACTTGTCTCCTGACCGTATCTTTTGTCTTGGAGTTGGGAGCATCCTTTGGTTGGTGCAAGCCTTTTGCTGGGACTCCAGAAGTGCTCCTAGCGGGGCCTAAGGCCTTTTGTTGAGGCACCCTGCTAGAGGGAACATTGGCGGACGCTGAGCTTACAGAGCGCGGCCTGGCCGGCACGCTAAGGCCTTGGCGAGGGTGTGGTTCTGCCGTGCTGGCTTAGGCACGTCATCAAGTCCCCCGATCTGGTAGATGTAGCGTTGCAGTGCTAGTTGCTGCGTTTCGGGCTTGAGGAGCTTACACGTGTCTATTTCTTCTTTGCCCACCATTCCTTTTTTTTAATGGTGACGTGACTGTGCATGATGGTTGGTGGTTACGTCATTGTCAGTCATTTTAAATGTCCCGCCTTTCTCGTTTCCGGTATAAGAGCGTCTATAGGGTTTTTTTTTTATTTTTTATTTTGACCTCTCCTTCTTCGTTCTTCGTTTTCTCTTTTCTTAAGTTTCCCTTTCTTCATTCTCCATGGCGAGTCTTCCTAGTATCCTTCCCTCCGCCGCTGAATATCGTCATCTTGAGGCTACGTACGGCTTATCCTCTGTGGAAGGCATGGAATATCCTTCTCCTGGTTCTTGCATCTCATCCCCCCTCTGGTAAAATCGGGGTTTTCCTAAAAACCCTAGATGCTGGGATACGTTTCCCGTTAACAGATTTCCAAGAGGAAGTACTCCAAAAAGATGGTTGCAGTGTGCAGATGTTGACCCCAAATTCCCTCAACAAGGTAGTAGCTTTCAAAATGATCTGCAGGGCTAACAACTATCTTCCCGACTACTTTGTTTTTAAATACTTCTTCAGATTCTGCGTTACCAGAGATAAGTATACTTTTTCAGTCCGGCGAGGGGGACACGCTCTGGTTCCCGACGGGCGGACGCCTAAGAATTGGCAAGGCAAATGGCTATGGGTAAATCAAGAGTTGTTCGGGAGTGGGCGATATCGTGCGACTGCCTTTGCTGATACCATCCCCAAACTTTTCCCTCACAATCAGGGTATCGCCGACTTCCTGAAGGGCATCCAAGTATCCCCTGAGGACTACTCTGAGGCTCTCATTTCTGGTGTGGGGATGAGTCCCTCTTGGAGATGCCGAGGTAGGATGGCGGTGTTTTTTTGCATTGTTAATGGTAAGTGCTTTGTATTTTCCAATATTTTTCTCTTTTCTTCTTGTCGCCCTTAGTCGGCTACCACTTTGTGTTTCAATATCTAGGTGTTGAGTCCTCTATCTATGGATGAAGTTCTGAGGAAACGGTACCGGGGTAAGTTGGAGCACCGTGAGGTGGATCTGGTTGATCTGCTTCGTCCTCCTCATTGGATGGATCGACTTGCCTTAATTGCTGCCCCATCTGCTCCTCCTATGGGTGGGTCAGCATCAGAGATGGATCTTTTACATGTCCGCCCTTTGTCTGATTTCATGCCTATGGGCAGTACTCGTTCGTCCTCCTTGGATAGTAGTGAAGATAGCAAGGAGGGGATTAGCACTGATGTCCGGTGCATGCAAGCGAAAAGGAAAACTATCTTATCTATCGGTGAGTCGGTCGTTGATGCATCTAATGTTGCTAAAAGGGTTCAAACCAGGCGTAGCTTATCCCACCTGTTGGACAATATGACTTTTACCCCGACCAGTGTGGTGGTGATCTCTGATGACGACACACAACAATCCGAATGGATCGATAGGGCGTTCGATCAGCCCATTGCTTTATCTGTTCCTGCTCCACCTGTTCCAAGTGTCCCAGTTGCTAAGGTTCCAAAATTATTACCTGTCAGTGACTCTAGCATCCCCAGTCAACCTTCGATCCTTTCAAGAGGCGTTACTGGGGAGAGTTTTGTCAAGCCCCCTTTCTTTGTCCCTTCATGGAAACTTCACAATGACTCTCGGTTGTCTGTCCACGCTAATGCTCTTGAGTTGTCTCACCATGCCTTCCCCCCCCCCCCCCCGTTGTGGTTGGTGATATGGATGCTATGCGCAACCCTGCCCTTGTCCATGACATGGCTTACGCCACAGCGCAAGACATGTTTTATCTTGTCGCGGGCTCTCGACGTATCCACTCTTTGGGTGAGATGGAAACCGCCCATGCCACCTGTGAAGCATGTAATGTGGGGTTAGAGCGTCGTGTTGGTGAACTTGGTGAGGACCTTCAACTTTCTAAACAAAAGTATCAGCTCCTTGCCTTTGAGAAGTCTACCCTTGAGGACACTAAGGCTACTTTAGAGGCCAAGGTTGACTACCTTTCCCAGGTCAATGAAGGATTGATGATTCAAGTCAAGAGCCTTGAACGTGATGTTGTTGACCATGAGAAGATGGTTTCTTCTCTGCAAGCAAATTTTGATACCTTACGTTGGGATTTTAATTGGTTAGTGCATGTTGGTGTTGTTCGTGTTGTTGACAAATTGATCGAGCATCCAGGATTTACAAATGCTATAAGTCTCATTTGACATGTTGCTTTTGTGGCTGGTGTTGAATCTGTTTCAGAAGGCCGCTGCTGGTGTTGGGTTTGAGGGTGTCGGTGCTTGCCTTCCTGCTGATGGTCCTATAGTAATGTGAACGATGCTCTGCTATCTTTTGCGAGCATGGACCATGCATCTTTGTTGGGATTGGGATATTTGGACATTGAGGGCCTTCGGGAGTTGTGTTGTTTCTCCAATTTGGGGGGGGGGGGTACCCCGGAGGGTGTGGTGGTTGAGGTAGAGGAAGCTGTGGAGACGATTGAAGGTAATGTTGGCAAAGATGGTCAAGGTGGTGTCAAAGATGATAGTGACCGCAACATTGGGGTGAGTGGTGAAGGTCCTGGTGGAGATTCGATGAGTGTGGTGGTGGTTACATCTGCTGAAAATGAAGATGCTCTGGCATCGTGTGCTACCTCTTCTGGGGCGTGAATATATTCCTTTCGGTTACCTTCTTTATGTTTTGTGTTTGGCGTTTTGCTAATCATTTTGTTACGATTATGGACATTCTAGTTTCTGTATGTTTTACTTTGGGGCATGTAATGTATGGACTTTGCTTAAACATTGTTTCCTTTCTCGTTTTATGTATGCAGAAATGTTTGGTATATCAGGTACCCAGTTGCATGCCCTAAGCACTGCTTTACTTGTCAGTATTTTAATGCGCTAAGCACTTTGTCTTGCCTATATTAGTATTAACATGCTAAATGTCAAAGTTGGTAGCTCTAAATTCATAACGTTCAACTTTAATGCATCAAGAATTTAGACGTTTTACAAAAGTTGTTACACTGAGTATCAAGGTTTGGCATGTCAGCCATTAACTTACATTGACTCGTGGTCTCCAATAAACTAAGTATGAGAATCATGTCACTAAGCATGAAACTAAGTACACTAACTACCTAGGATGTGGTACACTAAATACGACATTCAATAATCCGTAGTTATCCGTTGCTTCATTTTAAAAGAAAAACTTCTTCAAATTTCTGGCATTCCAGGTTCTTGGGATTTGTCTTCCCTCCACTGTTTCCAGAACATACGCGCTGTTTCAATTTTCTTCTACAATTCTATATGGACCTTCCCATGTTGGACCCAACTTGCCTTGAGGTTGGGCTTAGCTTGCCTCGTTCTTCCTTAACACGTATTCGCCTACCCTAAATGCTTTCTATTTTACCGTTTGATCGTAATATCTCTCCATTAGTCGCTTGTAGGCGGCTTGGCGTATCTCTGATTTTTTGTGCCTTTCCTCCAGCATGTCCAGGTTTAGCCTTAGGTCTTGGGTATTGGTTTCTTCCTCTGCATTGGTTGATCTCAGCGTGCCTACTATCATTTCCATAGGCAACATGGCTTACGTCCCATACGTTAAACTGAATGGCGTTTCATGTGTGCTTGTTCGTGGGGTAGTTCGATACGACCATAGTACTGTTGGTATCTCTTCCTCCCAATTCCCTTTAGCTTTACCTAAGCGTTTCTTGATTCCATTCACGATGGTTCGATTAGATACTTCTGTCTGGCCGTTTGCTTGCGGGTGCACCACTGAAGTGAATCGTTGGCTGATTCCTTTATTGGCGCACCATTCTCTAAAGGGATTCTCAGCAAACTGCAAACTACTATTGCTGATGAGCACTTTGGGTGTTCCGAATCTCGTCATAATGTTTTTCCATACAAACTTTATCATGTGTCTCCCGGATATGCAGGTTAGAGGCTCTGCCTCGATCCATTTTGTGAAGTAGTCCACTGCCACTACCATGTACTTTAGCCATCCGGGTGCCTCTGGGAACGGTCCCATGATGTCTATACCCCATTGGTAGAATGGCCATGGGTTGGATATGTTGTGTAGTGCTACTGGAGGGTTCGCTTGTACCGGGGCATACGACTGGCACTCCTCGCATTTCCTGGTCAATCCCAATGCATTCTAATGCATCGTGGGCCAGTATACTCCCATCCAGAGCACTTTGCCCATCAAAGCTCGTGCTCCCTCGTGCGCGCCCGCCTGGCCTGCGTGCGCCTCCTTCAACGCTTCCATTCTTCTGTACTGGTCTACGCACTTCAACTATGGTGCCGTGAATCCTCTTCGGTACAGTTCCTTGTTTACCAGTGCGTATAAGGGCGTCTTTATATGTATTTTCCTGGCTTCGCCGTGATCATCTGGTAGTATACCCCTTTGCAAGTACTCCATAAATGGTGTCATCCATGTGGACCCAGTGGTTGTAAGGGCATTTACCTGTCATTCGTCTATACTCCTCTCCTTAAGTACCTCTACTAAAACCTTCTTTGATAAATGATCAAAACATGTAGATGCTAGCTTACTTAGGGCATCCACCCTTTTGTTCTCACTCCAGGGTATTTTCTTGATCGTGAATTGTATGAAGGATTGAATTAATCATCTCACTATTTTTACGTACTTCTCCATTCTTTGATGTCTTGTCTCGAAACTTCCATTGATCTGGTTCGCAGCTAGCCTCGAATCTGTTAAGGCCGTTACAACCTTCGTGCCCATTTGTTTAGCTACCCGCATCCCCGCCAGCAAGGCCTCATACTCGGCCTCGTTATTCGAAGTATGGAAGTCAAAACGGAGGGCGTAAGTTACTTCTTCCCCCTCTGGGCTGGTAAAGATTAGGCCCGCCCCTGAGTCCTCCCTACTGGACGCCCCATCAGTATACAAGGTCCATGAGCAGTTGCTAGCCGGGACTTCCTACCCTGCCCAGATTCCTTCCTTAGCCAGACCGCCTTCATCCGGGATCTCGAGCAAAAAGTCGGACAATGCTTGCCCTTTAATGCTTGTTCTTGGCCGATAACTTATGTAATGTTCCTCTAGCTTGATCATCCACTTCGCTAGCCGGCCCGATGTTTCCGGCTTGAGCAGTATTTGTTTGATGGGATTTCGTTAGTACTTCAACTTGATGCGCTTGGAAGTAGCATCTCAGACGCCGTGCTGCGTAAATAAGTGCCAAGACTAATTTCTCTAGGGTGGGATAGTTGAGTTCGGGGACCTCCAGCGCCCTACTCATAAAGTATACCGACTTCTGTTCTCCTTCTCTTTATACGGTCAATACCGAGGATATATCTTCATTCGATGTCGAATGGTACATTTGTAGCGTTTCCCCTGGGATGGGGCTGGCTAGTGTAGGCAACCTGTGTAGCACTTCCTTGATTTTCTGGAGCGACTCCTCCGCCGCGGTTGTCCATTGGAAGTTGTTCTTTTCAATGTAGCCTTTTAGGATATGAAATAATGGCATTGCCTTGTCCGCAGATTTCGAGATGATCCTACTCAGGGCAGTGTGCTTCCCGTTCAAGCCTTGTGTGTCTCTCAAGGTGCCTGGGGGCGGTGTCTCCATAAACTCGTTTATTTTAACCGGAATGGGTTGAATGCCCTGCTTGGTAATGTAGTATCCCAAAAACTGTCCTTCCTCTACCCTAAATGTGCACTTGGCCGAGTTCAACTTCATTATGGTCTTTTCTAGTGTGCGGAAGGTTTCCTCGATGTCTTGCAACATCCTGTCTTCATCTGGGCTCTTGATCACCATATCGTCAACATATACTTCAATGTTTCTCCCGATTTGCTTGGCGAAAACCGAGTCGACCAAACGTTGGTATGTGGCTCCTGCGTTTTTTAAACCAAAAGGCATCTTGGTGTAGCAGAAGGTGTCGTGATCTGTATAGAAAGTCGTCTTCTCTTCGTCCTCCTTGCGCATCAAAATCTAATGATACCCTTTATATGCATCCAAGAAACATTTCAGCTTGAATCCTTGCAGCGACTCCACCTTCTGATCGATCTCCGGGAGAGGATAGCAGTCCTTGGGGCATGCTTTGTTCAGGTCGGAAAAGTCAATACACATACGCCACAATCCGTATTGCTTGCGTACCATAATTGGGTTAGCAATCCAGGTTGGGAAAATTGCTTCCCTTACTATTCCGACTTCCGTTAGCTTAGCTACCTCTGCGTTAATTGCCCTGTTCCGGTCCCCTCCTTGGACCCTTTTTTTTGCTTGACCTCCTTTACCCCTGTTTGATCATGAGTTTATGCTCAATGAGCTTCCTATCTACCCCCACCATGTTCGTAGGAGTCCATGCAAACACATGCTTGTATCGCTTGAGGAGGTTAACCATTGCTTCTTTTACATGTCCTGGGAGATTATAACCGATACTGACTAGCTGATCGGGGTGTATTTCATCGATCACTTCTTTGCTTTTTGCAGGATCGTGTCGCAGGTTCTTTGCCTCCTTGGTTATCTCTGACGGTTTCATGACTGTAAGGCATTGCAACTCTTTGGGTGGAGTGGCAAGTATTGTACCCGGACCAGCCGAAGTGTCGAACTTCATGATTCCATGCATGGTTGACGGGACTGCCCCTAGCTTTAGGAGGGTTGTTCTTTCTAGGATGATGTTGTGCTCCGTCGGGTATCGGATGACAACGATATTTTTTTTTTTGTAGACATTTAGTCCTTAATATTTTTGTACACATTTAGTCCTTACTATTTTTTTGTTTCAAAATAAGTCATTTTTTGTTTTTGTACCAATTTAGTACTTATGAATGATTTATTTAGGGTTTTTCTCACAACATCTAACATGAGACTATCATTGATGACAGAGACGGTTCTCTTTAGGTGCCTGCAGTGGCACCGACAACCCCTGCTTTTTCTGTATGCAGTGTAAATTTTTCGATATTTTTTGATATTTTTTCTTTTTTTATACTTACCGGCAACAACTACTACAGACCAGCAAAAACCTACTATCAAATCCTGCGTCCGTCCCTGATTGATGAGGTGTTTGGGGTTGTTGATGCTTATGTCCATCGTGGCCTCGACTGCTTGGTTGCATATGTCTTGTGGTTTGGCTTAGGTTTTGTATTCCGAACGTCGTAACTTCTTCATATGATATCTGATTTTAACGATCTTTATATCTATGATGCGTGTGGCGAGCTTGATCTATCCAATGCTGTGTGATCGGATTCTTCGTCGCCTCTGCACAATATCAAGAGAAGAAAGTCGTCAGCCGTTCCCAGGAGAGTGCTCCCGGAAGAACGCTCCGACGGCCGAGTTAAAGTGTTTCTAGGGTTTCTCTGTGTGTATCTAAGCCAGAGAAGAGTGCTTACCTTGTGAGCCC